CCACTGGTACGTAACAGAAGGTTTGACGAAGTTAATGATCTTTCACCGATAGTTTACGCACAAAGCGATGACAAAAGATATTGCGCCGATCTGCACCATGCCTCCGTATTCACCAACGTAAAGCTTCACTATCTGCCCGAATACAACATCCACAGCTCTCAGATCAATAAGAACTTGAAACTTCGTAAGCAGCAGATTATCTGACACGCCGTATTAAAGCAATCACTTCGATATCAGCAAAGCCCTGCCGTTTATCTGACAAGCGCAGATGCGAAGCAAAGCGACATCATCAACGTTGAAAAGTCAAGAAAATCTCGTTACCTACGACAGCTGGTACCGATGGTGAAATCGACGTCCAGGAAACTTCCGACCGTTATACCAGCATATTTCGCACCTGTTTGACGTACCCGTTACGTGAGAAACTGATGACCGAAGATGAAATATCGAGGATCTACGTTGAAAGAAATCAACACCGAAGAAGCGTGTCAGCCCAAGCGAACGGAGGTCAAACATTGTTGAACGACAGAAATATTTAATGTGGTTCAGACAAGTTTGATGTGAAAGTATCTTCGACACTTCATCGATACTTTGAAAATCGTTATACCCCAGAAAAAATGAACAAAGCTCTCGTTTTAAATTGAATACCGGTGACATCAGGAACTGAAGTTGTATGTAAACAGCGATCATTCAACATCCGGAAACACGGTTGCCGAGAGCCAACAGCGACGACCGGTGGTTTGAATAAACGTGAAAGCCTTTGTGCCAATGTGATTTTGAACCGACGATTACGTGATTTTATATAAAATACGTATACATTATCTATGATTGTTAATAAAGGTCAAGGATATTGTTATATTTTTGTTACCGAACGATTTTGCGAACGAAGTTGACGACAATCCATGCCCGGACATTATCCGACATTTCAACTGGCTTCTTCAGCAACCGCCGATTAACGAGTCGAATGGCATGGCGGCGTCTGTTCGACTGTCAATCTGTGCGATCGATTCAAAGCTCATAGGTGTCGGCCCCGTTAAAGCGAAAGCTCGACCACCGATCTCGTTAACGCCTGTTTGATTAAAGCATGGTTACCGAAGGTTCATCCGGACCACGGGCGCAAGTTATCGTAACAGGATCATTGACCTCGAACGTTAATGGAAGATTCCAGTCGAAAAACACTACGGTTCATTACACGCAAAGTATTGAACGTCGAATAATATTCGGCGTTATTCGGGCCGCAGCGGTTTATTTCAACGCCGACGCAATAAAATGAATGTTCGCCGTGAAGACATGGAAACATAGGCGTTCAGCCAGATTTTATCGATCATTGTTCAATGATGTTCATGCGCATGCGTTCACGGGGAATGAACTGGTTCGGCGCGATGAGCGAACGCTTCCGGTCCCACTTGTGTTAACGATGTTACCACCGACGATATTTATACCGAGAATTTGTTTAATCTGGGGAAAGTTCCGGCATTGAGTATCAATATCGCCGAACACGACGGGACCGATCTCGACGAACAACACGGATATGGCGTGGTCGTCGGTTCTAAGATCAACCAGGTTATCAATCAACAGCACAAAAATCAGTTTAATGATTCCAGCCCTGGTGAAAGCGATATCGGCAAAGCCGGGTTTCATTTGCCAGCCTGTCAACGCCAGGTAACGTCAGCAGGCCCATTACGTGATACCAAAACATATCTGTAATACGTACTGTTCGCCGGTTCGGGCCAGAAGATCCTGCGAACGACATTTTCATAATTTGCTTCGATTTGATTCCAAGCATTTGCCGAATGGTTTACGAAAGCGTGGTTTTAGAGAATCAGACCTTATTGACGTAAACTTATTGCCAGCATGACATTGTCAACCATAAAATTCGAAGTGAGTCTTCTGACAACGATGTCGCGTATTATTCTTTCGTGCCACGTTTTGACAGTAATCGGGGTTTGTGATCGTTACTTTCGATAGACGTCAAAGAACGTTTTCCTGATATTGCGCCGTCTTGGTGATTTGCGCGACATTCAATTCAATAGTTCTTCGCGACGATATCGTTGCAAAACAAAACTACAGTCCGTCCATTCTTCCGGAAACCGAATCATTATTGCATTCTAGAAGTCTGGAAAATTTCTCCAGATATTGTTGAATATTATAAACGGTGTACCGCAGCCAGCCAAATGTTCAACCTGTTGTCTGTCTCGACATTCGTTATCGTAGACGCCGCGACGTGTATCAGAGGACAATTCCAGGACCTCGAGTAAGATAGACCTTTTCCGAGGTTGCCAGTGAAGATCGTTCTGGAGCACCGTACGGCCGTCACTATTCGTTTATAGAGAGAATCAAGATCCGATTTTAATAGTTATTGTATGATTATACCGAAGGAAATATGTTGGCGAATACTCTGATTCTTTCGCACATAACTGTTCTTCACCGTTACTTCGCGTACGGATGGCGTCAACAGAATAAAGGAATTTCAGATTCAAAACACATTAAGCGAAAAGCCGTAGTCGAAGTACTTTGCTGTGCGGTAATCAGCCAGCAAGTCTTCGATATCGCGTTCACGCCGAAGAGGCTCCGGTTCGATTTACGGGCAATAACGTGATGTTTCGGTGATAATGTTGAAAGCGGCGTGTAACCTGTCTATCGTCAATAACCGTTTTGATAAGGAGCCTTCCGACTCAGCCTGGAGCAGTCAGCTGCACTGAAATGGATAACCAGTACCCAGCGGGGATCCAGCAGATGGGCAGGGTGGTTGCGGGCGTTCCTCCTCCCCTCGAAAACTGGCTGGCGTATTATCGCAGCCGAAATGCCAACGCACGCACGCGCGAGCCGCACGTACGCAGTCGCACGCAGCACGCACGTTACGCACAGCATTATCAGCCGAAGTCATTGGTATTACACACATTGAGCCAGGGACTGCCCTCGTTACAGCGTATACGATACGACAGAAGCGGTAAAGTTTGTAGGGTGTTCGTTCATGATGAAATTGCGCAGCACACCATGACTGAACAGTCAAACGAAACGTCGAGATGACGTCTGCCGTACGTATCATTGTTCGCGATACATCCAGATCGTCCAAACACGCTCAGCTATCTCTGTCGTCTCGCAGTTGTATCTCAATAGACTGACACGTTACAGATATAGCACAGACTCATGAGTGAACCACTTCCTTGTTTCTATCTCTGGGGGTTTCCGAATTGGTTGGAACATATCACTACATGTCAACACTGCTCTCTCGGGGAAGTGTTCCTACTCATTAACCAAAAAACCTTATCATGTGATGATGAATTATGACTATTTTCAAGTGCAACAAATATAATTATTATGAAGTGTAGTGGCAATAACGAGGGGGGTCCAGCATTTTGGACAATGTGTGTGTGTGTGTGTGTGTGCGTGTGCGTTCGTATTTGCGTGCGTGTGATTAAGAGTACCCCCTCCAGTGTTAAATAGTACATAACAAGTGTTGACAAGATAGCAGGCGTGGACAGGGATGACGATCTGGATGTATACTTCAGACAGTATTGTTGTACAGCAGACGTCATCCTCGACGACGACCCTGGACGACGATGGAGACATGAATGGCGTGCTGCACGTGAGTGTCATGACGAGCCCTAACGCCATCTAACATGAACGGACACCTCCTTTAAACACCACTCCTGTCGTATCGTAATACGTATAGCAGGGGCGGATCCACTGTGTGTGTGTGTGTGTGTGTGTGTGTGTGTGTGTGTGCGTGTGCGTGCGTGTGCGTGCGTGCGTGCGCGCGCGCGCGCGCCTGTGTTTTGTCAACACGTGTAATATACTATTTAGCACTTGTAAGTTTTCGGGGAGAAGGGAGGGGTACGGGGGAGGAACCCCGCAACCACCCCCTCTCCCACACCCATCTCTCTGGATCATCCCCCGCCGTAAGATTGCTGGTTATCAAATATACGACAATTGCAGCGCGGTGACTGCTCCAAGGCAGGTCAAGCAAAAGGAGGCTCCTTATCAAAACAGTTGTGTGTGGGTGTGCCGTTAAAAGACCAGTTTAGTTTTACGCCGCTTTTCCAGCAATATCACCAGAAATGGCCTTCACACATTGTACCCATGGGAAATCGAACCCGGGTCTTCGGCGTGACGATCGAACGCTTTAACCACTGGGCTACCCCACCGCACAACTAAAGGGAATTACTTCACAACCAGCTGCAACTTCGCTTAATAACTTGAAGACATGATTGCTTTTGAATCTGAAATTCCTTTATTCTGTTGACGCCATACATGCACAAGTAAGCTTTTGAATTGAAGAACAGTTAATATTGCAAAAGAAATTGAAGAATATTCCATATATATTTCCTTCAGTACATAAGCATCACTCAGATATTACAAGCTCTTGGTGATTCATTAAAAATCAGATCTTAGTTCTCTCTACTCTAAACAAGATATGATGACAACCCATTACGAGTCACTCCAGAACGATCTTTCGCAAACCTCGGAAGAAAGGTCTATCTTACTCGAGTCCTAATAGGTTGTCCTCTGATCTTTACGTCGCGGCGATACCTACGGTCTGAATGTCCTGAGACGGACCCAATAGATAGGTTGGACTGACTGACTGAGTATGGTTTTACGCCGTTTATAGCAATATTCCAGCAATATCACGGAGGGGGACACCAGAAATGGGCTTCACAAATTGTACCCATGTGGGGATTCGAACCCGGGAGATAAGTTGGATATGCCTTTGGACTTGTTTCATAGCAATATCATTCACGGAGACCTGGTAAGTTGGATATCGCACAAAATGCAAAGCCCGGTAGCAATATCCAAGGAAAACGTTCTTTTTTGGCTGTCTATCGAAAAATAACAATCCCTTAAACCTTGTAATTATCCTGTCAAAACGAATCATTTTCAACTTTAGAAAGAATAACTACCCACCAACATCCCAGTTGATACAGAAGGAGCTCACTGAATTTTATAAGTTAACAAAGTATACCTCTGTCATTACTTGTAATAGAGACTACATCAATAAGGTCTGGTCAAACTGCCATGCTTTATTCTCCTAAATACACTTTCATGCAAAACCGTGTAAATGCTTAGAATAAATAAACAAATTATAAAAGAAAAATGTCATTCACGGGATCTTCTGGCCCAGACCAACAGGCAAGTACATGTATTACAAAGATATATTTTTGATATCCACGTATGGGATATTTACCAACAATTGCTGACATTTTCTGACATTGGCAGCTGGCAAACAAAGGCCAACTGCGTGGTGCACCGGGCGTCATGCCAGCGTCTGTTCACTTCACCAGAGCTGCGAATCATTAAACAGTTTTGTATGGTATCACCCACTGCTGGTTGGTTGATGTCCCAAAAGTACTGGTTGATCTTAGAACCATTTGACCACACCCATATCCCGTCCTGTTGTTCGTCAGATCCGTCCATCCAGATGTGTTTACCTGGAAAACAGAACGTGTGTGAACAGACATTTTCTCCAATACCCCAGTCTTTCCCCAAATTAAATAAATTCACTAAATAGAGTATAATATCGTCAGAACCAAAGTGGCTGTGGTGTAGCCTAGTGGTTGAAGCGTTCACTCATCACGCCGAAGACCCGGGTTCGATTCCCCACATGGAAGACACATGCACACTGAACGTATCGGTGACAAAGTTATGTCCGATGCAAATCCCTGGCTAGACTTGTACCTATGTTTCCATGTCTCTTTTGGCGGGCAGTTGACTTGCATTTGCGTCAGCGTTCGAAATAACCGCCGGCCCGGAGGCCAGCGCCGGTTGTTATTGTATTGGTCCGGCAGTTTCAAATACTTGCAGTACTTGTGACCATCAGTAAGGGTGTTTTTTTCGACTGGAATCTTTATTAACGTTCGGGATTCCATGATCCTTCATGTTACGATAACTTACACCCGTGAAGGTCCGGGTTAGAATGAACCTTCAGTAACCCATGCTTGTCGTAAGAGGCGACTAACGGGATCGGGTGGTCAGGCTCGCTGGCTTGGTTGACACATGTCATCGGTTCCCAATTGCGCAGATCGATGTTCATGCTGTTGATCACTGGATTGAGTAGTCCAGACTCGATTATTTACAGACCGCCGCCATATACATTCAACTCTCGTTAATCCGACACTTGTGGTTGCAGAGAAATATGTCGGATTAACGAAAATGTCGGATTAATGAAAATGTCGGAAAATATCAGAAATTGTAGATCTAGTTATCGTCTTCGTTTGTAAAATCATTCAGTAATAAAAAATATAACAATACATCCTTGATATCATTTATTAACAATCATAGATGGCATAACATACATGTACATATAAAATCACATAATCAATCAGTTTCGTATCGATTTCAAAATCACATTGGCACAAAACTCACGTTTGTTATTACCAGTCGTCGCTATTTGACTCTCAGCAGCCATTATGACCCGGATGTTGAATGAGTCACTGTTTACATACAACTAGTTCCACACTAACATATGGATGTCTGGTGAACAATAATTTAAAACTTGAAACTTTTGTTGTTCATTTTTTTCTGAGGTCTTTTAGTTTTCAAAGTGTCGATGAAGTCGAGGTCACTCACATCAAACACGTCTAAGTTGTGTGTCACAAATGTCTGTGTTCAACAATGTTTTGACCTCAGGTAGCTTGGGAACGACTGGCTCGGTTGTCTGGTCTTCTTCAGTGTTGATTTCTTTTTCGGCAGTAGGTCGGACAATCTCGATTATTTCATCTTCAGTCATGGTTTCCTCACATGGCAGATTTGCGTCAAATTCTATGAATTCGCTGACAGGCACGGGTGCATCTGGGTATAGCTTGTCAAGAGTTTCCTGTAAATCTTGGACGTCTTCAGTCGGTTCATTATCGGGCTCGATCTGGCTGTCAGTAGGTGGCAGGATTTTCGTATGACGCCAGCAGTTGATGATTGTTCAGTTGCTTCGCATCTCTCCACGCTGATCGGATAAACAGTAGGGCTTGCTTGATATCAAGTGGTGCTGGCGTGTCTGCGCTGGCGTTGTCAAGATGAAGTTTCATCTGCTGCTTCTTGGACAGAAGTTTGAAGTTCTTTATTGTTCCTGCATCTAGGGGCTGAATGTGGGATGTTGTATTCGGAGGCAGATAGTGAAGCTTTACGTTGGTGAGATCTACGGAGGCATGGGAAGGGGCGTTGTCAATCAGCAATATCACTTGTCGTCGCTGTGTGCGCATGTGCCTATCAAACTTCACAAGCCAGTCTTTGAAGATCAGTGCTGTCATCCAAGCCTTCTTGTTTGCGTACCAGTGGCACACAGAATTAGGATCAAAAGTTCTACCAAAACATCTTGGCCTGTTAAATTTCCATATAACCAGTGGTTTAGGTTTGTCAGTGCCTGATGCGTTCACCACAAGCATAACAGTAAGACGATCTTCTGCTTGTTTCTTGCCAGACACAGGACAAGTGCTCAGTGTGGTATTGGGTTTATTATTATAAGTATCTTGGTATTGTATTCTCCTGCAGAAACATGTTTTCAAAAGCATGCGAGACACTTTCCCAACAAGCAGAAAAGGCACTCTACCAAATTACACGTTTTATCAACAAAATACAAAATCTGCTAATTGAGGCATCATTCAAGCTGTTTTATGGCAAGATTAAGCGTATACTTTTGTATGGAGCTGAGCTTTGGGGTGGGAAAAACATAAACAAATCGAAAAGGTTCATTCAAGTTTTTGTGAATATGTATTACAGATTGGTTCTAGGACATCAAGTAAAACCGCACTAGCAGAATGCGTTCGTTATCCTATTGAAATATATGCCTATATTATCCTTCTGTCGTTTTGGATGAGGATTTTACGGCAACCGCCATACAGATATACAAAGAAATGGTATGACATGTTAAAAAGACTAGATGATAATGGGGATGAGAACTGGGTATCAAAAGTGAGAATGTTATTTTTAAGATATGGTTTCGGTTATGTATGGATAGCACAAGATGTTGGTAACGAGAAATGTTTTATGGAGAATTTTAAACAGCGTTGCAAAGATATTTATTATCAAGAGAGGCATCAATATATAGCTTTTTCCGAATCCTTGACGTTCTATTCAACCATAAAGACTATTTGCTTGGAAAATATCTTGTAACTATTACTTCAAAAGATTTACGGAGATTTTTGACAAAACTTCGTTGTATTGTACATGATTTTAATGTTAACTCGTGTAGATACTCCAAAAACTATGAAACTGCGTTTTGTAGTTCCTGTGTGACTGAACTAGAAGATGAATTCCACATTACATTAGTATGCTCTCTTTACAATGAGTATCGTGCTAAATATTTACCTGAATACTGTCGTAATTACCCTCATGTCCAAATGTTTATTGAATTATTGAGAACAAGCGATAAGAATAGACTATTAGGACTTTGTATCTTTCTTAAACAAGTGTTTGTACTTCTATCGAAACAAAAAGCTCTGTGAACACATAATCGTATAACTTGTAATAAGATCTACATTCCCAGTGTGGCGCACCTGCATGTCTTTACCTTACTGTTTTACACGTGTTGTACTGTTGGCCTCATGGCCATATATACGTAATAAAGGATGATTAAACCCCATTTCAGCTCACCCTTTTAAAAAATTTGTTGTTTACGCCGCACCAGGCAGCTACGTGACGGCGGTCTGTATATAACCGAGTCTGGATCAGACAATCCAGTGATCGACATCTTAGCATCGATCTACACACGTTCCTTGGTAGTTGCTGGCGATTTATACAAGCATTTTATGTCGTTGATTGACAGTTGAAAATAAATATAAATATTGCTCGTCGCACTTCTGGCAAAGACAATGCCGGTGGGACCTAATGCTTAACGCATTCACTCTGACATATGTTGTACTGACCCTTGGTTTCTGCGAGAGTGGTAAGGAACTCGTTCTTGTCCGCGTTGTCCACTCTGATGAGGTGGCCGTTGTCAGTCTCGCACGTGGTGGCCGCGAGGTTCCAAGTCACCTGTGTCTTGTCCAGCTTGTAGCACAGGTTCAGACGTCGGTTCCATGTGTAGCCATTGTCACAGGTCACTACAAGCAAGTTATGAACTGTCATAAACACTGTGGGACATAGCATAGTGAAGCACACATCATCGACTACCGACTTAGGTGTAAATTCATATTGGAACTGGTCTTCAGCAAACCATGCTTGTCAGAAGAGGCGACGAACGGATCGTGTAGTCATGCTAGCAGACATTTGTGGTACTCGTGTTATTCCGGGACTAGCCGAATCGTCTTGGAGGTTACGGAAAGGGGCGAGTGGTGACGAATGTGCACCAGTCTGCGAGTCATTCGTCACTACTCGCCCCTTTTCCGTAACCTTCAAGAAATTCGGCTTGTCCCGGAATAACACGAGTTGGTCATGAATGCGTGTCCCAATGCAAATCACTGAACAACAACAGCAGCAGCAGCAACAACAACAACAACAAACAAAAACAAAACACACACTCTAGAAACGATTCTTTGTACAGATACAAATAACTATCGAATTGTTGCCGTTTTTTGTTTGCGTGAGGCTGTCCTGTTCTATTTCAGCTGAATGGCGATGGTATGTACATAACCACGTCTACACCAGACAATCCAGTAAATGATATCTTGAGCGCTTAGTCGCGCTTACGACAAGGGTTTTGGAGACCAGTCCCCACCCCAACCCACATCACGCCCCGTACCTCCATTGGTTCTTGGAGACCAGTCCCCACCCCAACCCACATCACGCCCCGTACCTCCATGGGTTCCTAGAGACCAATCCCCACCCCAACCCACATCACCCCCCGTACCTCCATGGGTTCTTGGATACCAGTCCCCACCCCAACCCACATCACTCCCCGTACCTCCATGGGTTCTTGGAGACCAGTCCCCACCCCAACCCACATCACACCCCGTACCTCCATGGGTTCCTGGAGACCAGTCCCCACCCCAACCCACATCAGCCCCCGTACCTCCATGGGTTCCTAGAGACCAGTCCCCACCCCAACCCACATCACCCCCGTACCTCCATGGGTTCTTGGAGACCAGTCCCCACCCCAACCCACATCACGCCCCGTACCTCCATGGGTTCTTGGAGACCAGTCCCCACCCCAACCCACATCACCCCCCGTACCTCCATGGGTTCCTGGAGACCAGTCCCCACCCCAACCCACATCACCTCCCCTGGAGACCAATCCCCACCCCAACCCACATACCTCCATTGGTTCCTGGAGACCAATCCCCATACCAACCCACATCACGCCCCGTACCTCCATTGGTTCCTGGAGACCAATCCCCATACCAACCCACATCACGCCCCGTACCTCCATGGGTTCCTGGAGACCAGTCCCCACCTCAGCCAACATCACCCCCCGTACCTCCATGGGTTCCTGGAGACCAGTCCCCACCCCAACCCACATCACCCCCCGTACCTCCATGGGTTCCTGGAGACCAGTCCCCACCCCAACCCACATCACCCCCCGTACCTCCATGGGTTCCTGGAGACCAGTCCCCACCCCAACCCACATCACGTACCTCCATGGGTTCCTGGAGACCAGTCCCCATACCAACCCACATCATGCCCCGTACCTCCATTGGTTCCTGGAGACCAATCCCCATACCAACCCACATCATGCCCCGTACCTCCATGGGTTCCTGGAGACCATCCCACCCTGTACCTCCATGGGTTCCTGGAGACCAGTCCCCCACATCACCCCCCCCCGTACCTCCATGGGTTCCTGGAGACCAGTTCCCCCCACCCACCCACATCACCCCCGTACCTCCATGGGGTCCTGGAGACCAGTCGCCCCCAACCCACATCACCCCTGTACCTCCATGGGTTCCTGGACACCAATCCCCACCCAAACCCACATCACGCCCCCTGTACCTCCATGGGTTCTTGGAGACCAGTCCCCACCCCAACCCACCCCTGGCACATATCTCAGCTAGAAGTATTGCTTCAGTTGAAATTAGGGTCATCAAAAAACAGTTCCAAGATATCCAAAATATATAATTTCGTAGTTGATATGTCCTAAGAAATACAATGTTTTGAGGCCGCCATTATAACGCTGTTTGTACATGTAGAGGATTTTAGGACTACTTCTTTCAGTTTCTCCTTTTTATCCCAGGGATACCCAATTGAATATCCCTCCGATGCAATGTCGGGAAGAGTGTTTAGAATAAACTATTTCCAGTATCTCTTGTTCTTTTTAGTCTGAACACACACAACCGAGTTATTTTGAAGCGGAAAACGTTCTCTAATTAACACACGTCACAAGGGACAGGCCGATTGGGTTTGTTCTCAGGGACGGTGTTTATGAGTCCTATGGTGTTTATGTTTTGAAACATCACAATAAAACGCACCATCCGTAAAATACGCGTATTTAACAGCATGATTTTCAATTTCGGCGTGCAGTGTCACAGACTACACAATTCACATGCATTGCACGTGAAAGTTGGGGGTCAGATAGTCTCAATGATGGGTATAAAAGGTTGATCGCTGTCGATTATTCACTGTATTTGGAATATTGTTGACGAACGCAAAATGCCACGTCTAAGTGAAGCCAACCGTCATATCGCCATTGGTTTGCTTGAAGCTGGCCAGTCTCAACGTGCAGTTGCCCGACGCATGAATGTTCACCAAAGCACCATTTCACGGCTCTGGGAGAGATATCGCCGGCAGATGCCCCTCGTAGTGGGCGACCTCGAGCGACCACTGCGGCGCAGGATCGCTACATCCGGGTATATCACCTGCGTCATCGAACAGCTACGGCGACCAGTACCGCTCGACAGATACCCGGATTGAGGAGGCTTTCTGCACAGACTGTCAGGAACAGGTTGGGAGAGGCTGGTTTACGTGCCAGAAGACCTTATTTTGACCCTGTGCTTCGACAACAACATCGCCGACATCGAGTTCAGTGGTGCACCAACGTTCAGGCCTGGAACCTACCGAATTGGCGTAGAATCTGGTTCAGTGATGAATCACGATTTCTATTGGAACGACGCGATCGAAGAATGCGGGTGTACAGACGTCGACGTGAACGTTTCGCCGACGCTTGCGTTCCCCAGGTGGACAGATTCGGCCGGGAAAGTGTTATGATGTGGGGAGCGATCACCTGCCGTAGGAGAAGTGATTTGGTGATGATCCAGGGCAACCTGACAGCTCAACGGTACTGTGACGAAATCCTACGCCCACACCTCCTTCCAATCATTGATCGCCAGAGGGAGTTGTTTCAACAGGACAATGCCAGGCCCCACACAGCAAGGTCACACTAGAGACTTCCTCCAGAACCACAGCATCAATGTGCTCCCCTGGCCCTCAAGATCACCGGACTTAAACCCGATCGAACATCTGTGGGATGCCCTGGACAGACGGGTGCGATGCCGTAACCCTCAGCCCCAGACACTTCAGCAACTCGCACTCTTTTCCTTTTTGCGGCTGAGATTCTCGGTTGCATGATAAGAAATAATGAAAACATCAAAGGTATTGTCATCAATGATAATGAATATCAACTGGATCAATATGCCGATGATACTGAACTATTTCTTGATGGAACTGAAGAGAGTTTGTACTCTGCTATTTACACAATTAATAAGTTTTAAAAAATGTCAGGCTTGAAAATTAATTTAGACAAGTCAAAAGCAATCTGGATTGGATCCAAAGCTAAATCTATGGATAAAATATGTAATGATCTGAAAATTGAATGGGTAATTGGTAAATTTGATGTGCTAGGTATTAAATTTACACCAGATCTTAAAGATTTAAGGGTAATCAACACAAGAAAGAGACTGGAGGGAATTAATAGACTCTTAGCATCCTGGAGAAAAAGAAATTTAACACTTATTGGTAAAATAACAGTAATAAAAACTCTAGCAATCTCCAAATTGGTCCATATTTTCAATTCCTTGCCAAGCCCAACAGCAGAATTTATCACGTCCCTTGACAAAATGTTTTTAAAATTTATTTGGAATGATAAGAATGATAAAATAAGGTGAGGTGAGGTGAAATTGGGTTTGACGTCGTGCTTGAGAAATTTTCGCTCATATGACGACGTGCATGCGTGTGTATGTGTATGTGCGGCTGCTTGTACTAGCCCAGACTGAAGCTGGTTTTATAGTGCTAGCCCACTGAGATACCATGCCGCAGTGAAGCATGAATACCCCACTCAGACACATTATACTGACTCAGAGCCGACCAGTCCTTGTTGTACCCATTAATGCCGAGCACCAGGCAGGGACCAACAAGTACCATATTTTAACGTCTTTTGGTATGACGCGGCCGGGGATCGAACCCGCGACCTTCCGCTCTCCGGGCGGACGCTCTAACCACTACACCACGGAGGCGGTCATGATAAAATAAAAAGGAATGTAATTAAAAACAACTATGAAGAATGAGGTTTGAGAATGATTGATGCAAAAACATTTATAGACGCTTTGAAATTATCTACTTTAAGACAGTATTTCAAAAGAGGTGATAAGAATAATCCATGCAATATACCTTTTAAAGACATATTTAATTTTGGAGCAAATTCTAAAACTTACTTTAAGATTGAAAATCCTTTTTGGCGTGATGTGCTAAAAGCATGGCAACTATTCCACAAAAAACATTATATTGACCCTAATAACATTAATGAAATTCTATCCCAACCATTATGGTTTAATCATAATCTTAAAAATTCATTAAACTTCATAAAGAACTGGGCAGATAAAGGGATTATAAATATTAGGGATATTTGTGATGAAACTGAATTATTGTCAATAGAATCTTTAAAAGAAATATATGGTATCAAAGGCACTATTTTAGATTATGAATATTTACTACATGTATTACCTGACTCTTGGAAAAATACTCTTAACCACTGTCATTTAATACCAGTCAGGGATTTAAATATTAACCAATGTCAGATATATCTAGTAAAAACATCTAAAGGCTGCAGGACTTTTTATGATAAACTTATTTCCAATGATATACACCCAAATATGTGTAATAAATGGCAGCTGCTATTTCCTGAAATAGACTTTGATTGGAAAAATATATTTACAGCATACAGAAAAGGATTGCAAGACACAAAACTTTTAGATTTTCAATATAGATTTCTACAAGGAGTTATTTATACAAAAAGAGAATTGCTTAAGATAAAAAAGGTTGATAGCAGTCTATGTTGTTTCTGCAATGATCTAAATGAGAGTGTTTGTCATGTGTACTAGGAATGTCAGGAGACACAAACTTTTTGGAAAAACCTACAAATTTGGCTTAACAATTTATACCCTCATCCACTGCTATTATCAAAACATATGGTTTGGTTTGGTACTCTACATCATAATATATTACTAAATCACATCATCATTGCAGCAAAAAGACACATTTACGTATGCAGTATTAAAAATACGCATCCAAACATAGCTCTATTTATAAAAACTTTGAAAGAAATATTCTTTGTGGAAAACCATATATGCAAAAGAAATAATAAAATAGAAGATTTCAATCATAAATGGGGTCTTCTCTTCCCAGTACTTTGATGAATTTAAAATGTATCCAATTTACCTGAGGTCATATTTCTCTTTTATTGACTTATATATGTGTATTAACATGATATTGACATAATACCTGTACATCATCCATCTGTCTGTACATCACTGTTCTATATATCATGACGTTGTAATCCTGGGAACCAATATCCCCCCCCCCCCAAAAAAAAAAAAAATCAAAAAATCGCACAGGCACTACAGGCAGAGTGGGCTGCGATTGGGCAACACGAGATTCTGAGACTTATTCGTTCGATGCCGAGGCGATGCCGTGCAGTTCTGGATGCCCACGGTGGTCACACGAGGTATTGACTTCAGCGCCAACACACGTCTCCATGTGACACTCAAACTGACTTTCCTCGAGTTGGTGCCAAAGACGGATAAATCTGCATTCCCAGTGTGCAATTTCGCTCTATTTCATTGACTCATAAAGCCTACAAGATGTTTCAAAATAAACATAAAAATACAGTTGAAATTCCTATATGCGTTTCTTTTTGGGGAGAGTATATGTATGGGTGTTTTTGTGGTCTTATGTATATGTATATTTTGTAGTATTGTATGTGTTTTCAGTGTTGACCGTGCACAGCAAATGTCCTTCGAGATATTATACAGAGATTATTACACGAGCAAGTGTGTCATACGACTTATACGAAACGGGTGTGAAATTCTGTGACATAATCTTACACGAGTTTAGTATTAGTCGTATGACACACTTGCTCGAGTGTAATAATTTCATCTTCCATTTTATTCATGTACATTTGTGCAGTAAAACACGGTAAGCAAGTGTGACGGCCCTGTGAATTGACGTCACGTTCAATTGTTTAATGACGTCACAGAAGACGAACTACAGAAACAATGGTTGCCAGGCAAAGGTGATATGTGCACATTTGGTTATGGTTATGTTTCACTATATGGATATAATGATTTATCATCCAAAACTGTGTTCCACGGGAGATATCGCTTGTGTGAGATCAAAAGTAGATGTTGTACAATGCCCTGACAATGCTATGACGTCATGTACCTGATGACGTCTCAATGCTATGACATCGCTGCACTGCAAGTCTAATGGCAGTACCATGTTCAGAGATGTACATTTTTCATTGAAAATTAATGAAGAGTGATTTTGGATGATAAATAGAATCTCACCCTCGTGTCTTCTGATATCAAATATATCAACACTCGTTGATAAAGTAAAAATATCCTCGGCAAGCCTCGGATATTTGTAACTTTATCAACTCGTGTTGATTTAATTGATATCAGAAGACACTTGGGTGAGATTCTCTATGCATTATCTTATGATATATTATATCAATGGAGAGCGTATGCTCAGCCTAAAATACAGTCTGACAAGTTATATGTTCAGTTAATTATTTCACATATTGATTTACTTAACGTACAGTCACATGTAATTAAGTGTGCCGCTCGCTCACTCACTCACTCACTCACTCACTCACTCACTCACTCACTCACTCACTCACGTATCTATTATCTGTGTTGACAATGAATAACAACCCAAACCCATACTACCGTGGCTCCAGGCGAAGTACATCATCCCATCTGGCACAGCATCCATCTGGGAATCACCATACACATCTGGCACAAGCCAACACTTCTGGGCGTGGACGCTGTAGAACAGTGAAGAACAGTTCATCTGCCAATAGCATTTAGATACACAGTCCAGTCTGGAGGTGACCCATTCACCGGTCAGTAGAGACGTGAGGAACAAGTCCCGGAACAGAAGCGTCATCCCCAGCACGGCCGCCATTGCTGACAATCGTCTTCAGAAGGGATGATGACGGACACAATCGGGACGTCATTATATAAAGCACATGCATAATGAAAATAGAATAGTAATGTACCTTTGTAAATGTTTGAAGCGTGACACGTTAGGTACACTGTCTGTTGTTACGTGTGTTAGCTAACACTGGTAATGAGAAACAACATTGATTTGTTGGGTATTTTAATGAACTCCCGAATCGACCCGGAATGTGAATAAGTTCATTTATCTGGGAACAGAATACCTGTAACTCAGAGGCAATTAAATATAAATTGTGTTGGGTTAATTGAGGTACAGATAAAAAAAGATTATTACCCACGTGGTCACACGAGTGTCGTATCGCGTTGACCTGTGTCGTAACGACTTGACCTGAGATTTTAACGATTTGATTGGATAACCGATGACCTCTCAGTTAGGTCACGTTGTGACGGAACTACTTGTTCATTCATAACAAACACGTGAATTCATTCATTCTACAACTTAGATGCATTGTGGGAATGTAAACATTGCGAACGTTGCCGTGTCGCTGTTTAATTGTGAGTCGAACTGAGACATTTTATCCGTCGAAAAAACATAAACGGAATGTTTCCACCAGTGATGTTAACCGAGTGAAGCAGTTGCAAACCAAGAAACGGGGTGCTACGGAGTAGTTTACTGTAGGAGGCTGTACGAGAGGCGATGACAACTGACATGCATCGTGACGTCGGTTGCCAAGGGGACAGACGAGAATGGCGTAGTGACGTCAATACAGTGTGACGTCATGCAAAAGTGTACTTCAGAACAAAATTCTTCCGCAACCTCTTTATAAACCGTTTTCGGTTTGAAACCATAATAATAACAAAAATACACTATTTTGTCAATTCAATGCATGTAAGACGTGGGTAATAAATAAAATACCACACTCGGTCTCCTTACATACTAATTATACGAAACTCGTGACCTTCCTATGGTTTCGTATAATTCGTATGTAATGAGACCGAGTGTAGTATTCTCTATATCTGCTCAAACTGTATGTAAACAGTTGAAGCTTTCACAGGTATCTCAGGAATGATCAATGTATGCATAACTACCGGCGGCATAGCTGTTTCACAACTTAAGGTAGAGAGTTCTCAAAACCTTTTGACCTCCCGTCGTAGGTATGTTTACTGGCAAACCAGATATATAGTGGAGGTGATCCGTGATTGAACCTCGGAGTCCTGGCGAGCCACGAGGACATAACGCTGCCTAACGCACACCTATTCCCGTTGCTCCTGCTGTAGTCTCCCGTACAGACCCTGAAGCAAATATATCCAAGAAAGCCCACACAAGTCTAGAAAATGTGGCAAGTCTAGATTTCCTCAGCTCTGAAAATGAAGAAGGTCTCAGGGCTCCTTTTCATTATATTTTATATTTTTTTTACTATGAACTTTTTTCAGTAAAATATGTTCATTTCAGAGACTAGTTGTTAGTCTACTCCTGCTGTTGCATCTCCAGCTTGTGGCGTCTGTATTCAAGGTAAGGTTGAGGTACTGTCGAGCGTGTTATTTCCACTAGGAGTGTCGTTCATCTCCGTAAATCGTGGTTTGATCAGGGTCCCGATCCACAAAGCGGTCGTAACGTTACGAACTATCGTAACTTTATAGTTTATCACAGAATAACGAATGAAGTAGTGCTACGTACGCTTTGTGGATTGGATCCCAAGGTTTTAAAACTCAAGACGCACAATTCTGACAATTTTGATAACATAAACAATGCCGCAAAGCTGCAATGCAATCATTTATTTTTAAGGGAAAGTTCCAAAGAAATCAAACTCCAAATTTGACGGTCACGAAGCATGTGACCTCGTACAGCAATGGTTGGTGGCAGAAGTATGTTGTTTTCTTGTAACAAAACACTCAAGGAAAGTATTTCAAAGTTTTTAATTCATTAAGGAAGTAACAGTATTGGCCATGCGACGTTGGCAACGTGCTGAACGTTTGCTTGTCATATGCAGGGGGCTTGTTGGTACACGTCAGAATACTGGCGCTCAAACACAGCATGTGTCTCAGTCTTGATAGTGATATTATAACTTTGTTTGTTCGTTCGTTCGTTGTTTAACGCCGAACTCAGCAATATTCCAATTATACGGCGGCGATCCGTAATTGATTGAGTCCGGGCCGGACAATCCAGTGAATGGGGTACGATGTCAGCGAGCCTGACCACTCGATCCCGTTAGTCCCCTCGCTGGCAAAGGCAAATTCTAACCAGGATCCTCAAGGGTCGATATTATAAGTACCGACCCACGCACCGTCTCGATGAGATAACCACATCACCCACCCTGACCAAACATTTGACTTTCTGAGGTCCAGGGCCCCTTCCTCAAAGCGATCGTAGCGCTAAGATGATCGTAACTCCCATACTTTAACATACGCTTACGACTATCGTAGCGCTACGATCGCTTTGAGGAACGCTGTTACGACGTAAATTGTAATAATAACGCAAATTGTAATACTTGCAGCAAATTGTAATAAACTTGACGTAAATTGTAATAAAAACGTAAATTGTAATAAAAATTGACGTAAATTGTAATACGCAAATTGTAATAAAAATTGATGTAAATTGTAATAATTATTGTTGCGGTAAAATGTAATAATATTTACGTAAATTGTAATAACAGTTTTAATCACTCGTAAATTCGTGAAATGGAGTGACCTTGAGATAATTTTCAAGGTCACAGCAAAAATCTGAGGGTTTTGCCAATATAAAGATTGTTAGCGCGATAACCCAAGAAAGAATTGACAAATCTTAACCAAATGACGAAAATGATATTCGTCCTGATATATAATCGATATAAACTGCCCGCTGTATCATGTCTTTTCGCAAATATCTTTTGAGGTTTTGATATGTATAAATATAAAGTGGGGTGGGGTGGGGGTGGGTTTTCTAACGGGTATATCAAATCAAATCAAATCAAATCAAATAAGACATTTGTATAGCGCTACATATCCAGAGTCCTGCTCATGTGCGCTTAGTCGAATGCTCGTTTGAAGAGGATGGTTTTGCGACACGATCGGAAACTGTTGATATTTTCCGATTTTCTGACATTTTCAGGTAATCAATTCCAGAGTACAGCACCCGGTCTGCTAAATGATCTGTCTCCGTATGTTGTGGTTCGGACAAATGGAATAGCCTAGCTGACTAGCAATGAAATGCATCACAAATTAAACTTCAGGAAACAAAATATGCAAGAAACATTTTTGTATGTTTGAGATTGGTAGAGGTCGGCTAGAATCAAACTTAGATATTAAACTGCACAAAAAGGCAATTTGAAACTACAATCGCTTGTTCAAATGACTCCCCCTTCGGTTTACTGAAAGAACTCGAGAAAGAAATGATGGATTTTGTTCAAATTTGGTACCATGGTTTATTGACGAGATTTACCGACACCACTTGAATTTTGTGACCTTGAGGTCATTTTAAAAAGGTCACAGCGAAGGTGTAACAGTTTTGCACATGCCAAGCTTGGTAGCCGCGAACTCAGGAAAGAATTAATAGATTTTGATCCAATTTTTATATCAAGGTGTATTGATGGGAATCCCCCTACACCAATTGAAACAAAATATGCAAAAAACATGTTGTATGTTGGTAAAAGTCAAACTTAGATATTAAACTGCACAAAAAAGCAATTTTAAACTATAATCGCTTGTTCAAGTGACTCCCCCTTCATGTTTACTGAAAGGGCTTGTTTTGGAGACACTACCCACCCCCTTTCAGTTGACGTCATCATAAGGATATAACTCATCCTAAAGTTTTCACTTATTCATACATGGTGTCAAGGGTTCAAACTAAATACTGAATGGTCACACAAGTGTCAGCTCTCAATATGTTGTATATCTGGACACAATGTTTTTGAAAATTTAAAATGAGGGTGTCCTCAGTCCCCGTCTAAATGTAAATCAAGCAATCCAAATCTTTGAATGTTGATGATGACGAGAAGTCATCCAATATTATGCTGAACATATTTTATATGATACTATCTGAGGGTATACCATTATCCAAGAGATAGCGCAATTGTGCAGTTGTAAGGCGTCTGCCTATCACGCTGAAGGGCCTGTTTCGAGGAGGCACCTAGGTTCGGGTCCCGAGATGGGGCACATTTGCGTAGTATCCTTGGACAAGATACTTAGATCAACACTAACTCAGTTCACCCAGCTGTAAAATGGGTACCCGTGAGTATGTGCTGGCAATGTGAGTGTTTAGTTCATTGCGCCTAACAGGCAGCATGGCTGTACAGTCCCCAGGGAGTTGAAAAAGTATCGGAAACTACGATAGTGTCCTATGATCAGGGATAGTAATGTACGTAGCGCCGTGAGCAGGCAATGTGCCTGGATGTGAGCGCCATATAAGCGGACTATTACTATTACTAGATAACAAATGGGAGATCGTTTTCCATTTTCTGCAAATTTGCAAGAAACATAATACCCCAATGTTGTGATGACTAATATCTCGTTAACCACATTACCCACAAGGAATTTTGGATATGACTTTGCTAATGATTCCTTCAAAATAAAATGGAAACTGTTTTTCAAATATTGGACATCGAGAATATAGTTAGTTTGTCTACTTTTTCAACGCCCCTCGTAACATACTTAAAAGAAATGAGAACGTCTAAGGAAAAAAGCATTTCGATCTCTGAATACTTCTGAGCTATTTAAATACAAAAAGCAAAGGAATAAAGTAAATAATCTGAAAAGAACAGCCAAGGGAAACTTTTAATCTATTTTTGATAACTATTTATCACTTCAGTCTACTCAATCAGGTTGTTACTACTTCATCGGTACCCATTCCCCTTCAGGTTTTACAGATTTGGATAAAGCTCAAACATTAAATGAATATTTTGTATATATAATGTATAACAAATGTCATTGTAACCGAAAAGGAGGTATCTGATAAGACCTTACCAGCAAACAAATCTAGTGGACCTGATGGCATTAACATGAGAGTGTTAAAACGAATTTGTACATCTATAGCTGAACCTCTTTGTTTGTTGTATAATATATCACTGAGTGACTGTATTTCCTACATTGTGGAAAACGGGTAATGTTACTCCTATTTTGAAAGAAGGAAATGCATCCCTCCCAACTAATTACAGACCTATTAGTTTAATATTACCTATCCTTTGGAAAATCCTTGAAAGAATAATGGTAATAAAGCATGTGCACGACCATTTCCATGAACATAACATTTGAAGTAAATTCCAGTCAGGTTGTACTGCTAGTCATTCTACTACATCTCAACATAGACATTTATCATAATATATGCTCAGTCCTAGATAATCACCACCTTTACTGTATGCTGTTTTGTGATATTTCAAAAGCTTTTTACAGGGCATGGCATAAAGGTTTATTGCACAAATTAGAAAATGATGGTGTTCGTGGAAACGTACTTAGTTGGTTAACTAACTATCTATCTTGTCCCGGTTGTTCAATACTCGGTTATCTTAACCGCCGGTTAACTCCTAACGGCGGTTAAATCCTTAACCGGCCGTTAGGTAACCGAACGTTAAATATGCGTTGTTCAGAACATTGTTAGTCATGCCGTTAGCTAACGTCGCCGTCAAAGTTTAACAGTGTGGTTAACGTCACTGGTTAGCTTCCATATATCCCATAGTTCCGTTTTCTGTTTACTTCCGGTTTACCAAAAATGGAAACGCATACTGTCGCCTGCACCCCAAGGAAAAAGAGAAGTCGAAATTTCTCTGCTGACGAAAAGAATATAATCCAGTCAATGGTTGAGGCCAACTCTATAGTTTATCATAGGCATGCGAATGTCGTAGCGTTACGAACGTTTTGTATTGGAACACAAGGTTCCAGCCGTTTGCATACTTTATATTTCAAAGACATATGATCCCAGCTCTGTGTGGGACTTACTTCAATTCCAGCAACAGAAAAGACATTTTAATGAAAAATAGGGCTGTAACGAATACACTATGTTGCGAATATGATACATCTCACGAATATTAGGTAACGAATATGAATAATTATTCATGAATACAATATTGTAGTTAAGTGAGGGATGTACAATATTGAATGCCTATGTTGACAGTGTTAATTTGTCTCGTCAATAACCAGTCATCTCATGACACTCATATTTTGTATGTACTAGTTATAATTGACAGCACAGCAAAAGATAAAATATGATGAATCGATGAAAATAATATTAATATTAGAAGCATGTTGTCAGTGGATAGAAAATGTATAAATATTACACACAGAGTTACGCTTAGACGGCTACAGTCTTAATGAATCTTTGAATTCCCACAAGACCTATCGCTCACTTTTCACTCCTTAAATTGTCATGACTGTATGGCCAAGTCGTGAAGATGCTATCAATATCATTTATTAATTATTTGCCAAGTCTGTCAAAAATTGTAATGTATGAACACACATTGCCAAATCTTGTAACATCAAACAATTTACATGTTGTGTAATTAATACCATAGCTTTTATCTGAAATATGCATTCAATACCAATAGAAACTTAATATGTTACTAGCACCACGTGCAATTAATCAAACTGTAATCGTACTATAAGCCCCAGGGCCAACACTGCTGAATAAAATCCATCTATTATCCGACCTTACTTTTGACAAGAATCTCATGAATAATACTGTGCAAAATCGTCATTATCTGAACGCCTTCACAGACGCATATTCCGGAAAGATGTCTTGAAAAACATGAAGCTGCGTCTAATTTATAGATGAACATAATTTCCTCGATACTCATTATTCAGATGAACCTTCATTTAGTTCAATTCACAAGTGACTGCAGAAAATGCATAATTCTTGTTAATGACTTCACGGTCGGAAAACATGTATTATATTTCATAAGTGTATTACAGTACGCTGCAACGATTCGGCACAGAAATACTATTGTGCCATAGTATTCCTTATATGAACCCATCAGTGTATAACATTAGCATTCAGATATTGTTATAAAATAAGTTAAAAAATTCCAAATATTATCGTGTAATATGACAAGAGATAGTGTTGTGTTCGCTGTGACAAAAAAGGTTTCGATATTCAAATATAACATTTAATCAAAGTGACTACGAAGTAGGCCTGCATATCACTCACAACAGAAATAGATACATAATAATGTTATGTTTATTTTCCTACACATCAGTTGCGAGAGCAATGTTTATGCTAACTAAGTTTTCATGAATTAATACAGCATTTTTAAAAGATGATTTGCTTCAATTAAAACATTCGAAGAATGAAAAAGCAATTAGGCCTATTGCTGAAATGATTAGTAAAAATATAATTAAAATCCATCTATGGGAAGGGATGCCAGACGGACATATTAAAACAAAATCGGATAATTACTTGGGGTATAGACTTTCAAAAATAGCATATTAATTAACAATGATATCAGTTTTTAATAAAATCACTAATAATTCTGAAACGTTGCCGATAAGCCTGGAATCGTGTTCAAATGTGTTCATAAATAAACTCACACGAACGCCCAAGTGCACTTTGCGCCCTATTGGATAGTGTTTACAAAATCACGTTTCGCGAAGGCCGGTATTGAAACGCCAATTACATCACTTGTATTTCATATTCACGAATCACTGCATTTTAAGGCTGGGACGGGTACTTGGGTACTCGAATCCGGGTCGGGTACAGCTGGAATCGAGTCCTATTTCTAGGAATCGAGTATCCGGAAAGGGAGAGAGCTCTGTAATGACAAGGGCAGACAATAGCTTGTCTTTTTCATTTTTGACGTAACACACATTTACATCTTTGAGTGAGTGAGTGATTGAGTGAGTTTAGTTTTACGCCGCACTCAGCAATATTCCAGCTATATGGCGGCGGTCTGTAAATAATCGAGTCTGGACCAGACAATCCAGTGATCAACAACATGAGCATCGATGTGCGCAATTGGGAACCGATGACATATGTCAACCAAGTCAGCGAGCCTGACCACCCGATCCCTTTAGTAGCCTTATACGACAAGCATGGGTTACTGACAATCAATTCTAATCCGGAAATTCACGGGTTGTACATCATTGGTATTGTCCAATTAATGGAGCATAGTTTTAATGACTGTAATTTATCTGTGCATGAGCAGTGAGTAGTTAAGTTACAGTAGCAGCAGGAACAAAACGTTTGTTGTTATAACGAGGAGTGTAAGTAATGGTGTTACTCTCTATATTGGTTAAACAGACGTAAATTAAATAGCTTGGGGTAAGTTTTAATGTCTTATTACCAACTGTTCAAGTTTTCTACAATAATCTCTGTCAAATCGTGATTGAATATTCAGAAAGTTGACCCGAATGTATTTCTTACATTTCCGGGTACTCGATTCCGATTCGGGTACGTACATGCGGGTACTCGATTCCATTGTTTCCTACTCGTGCCAGCCCTACTGAATTCCTCATACATTTTAGAATCAAATTACAACTGGTCTTTTTTGGCACCAATACCAAGTGTCTAGATAAAGTGAAACGAAAGATATTGGGGGTGGAAACAACTGCTGTGCTCGAAAGACAACACCTGTTTGAAATGAAAACAAAGAAAATTTCAGACTTTACACTGTGTAGCATTTTCTCAAATTTTCAGACACCCATTTGCATGGAAAGAGCATAGTACCAAGAAATAGGAAATTAAAAATAGATACAATACAGGAATCCGATGTGTTTACACGAAACTGTCAAGTTTCTGTGCTGCGTGACGCCATGACTGACGCAAAATCACGCAGAACGACAACGGTAATAATCGGCATTTCTTGCTTCTTCTCGATCTTAAAATGGGAGTGTATTTGGCAATTTCTCTGAGGTGGAGGTCGGTGGAATAAGAGTATACACAATCACCATATCCCGCCGATTACACTTTCAGTATCATAATGTAATCGTTTGGATATTTTTTCATGAAACTAATTTAATTATCTACATGTAGCCTTGTTCAATATCATATCATACGTGGGTATAGGGTGTACGTGTTATATTCTTTGAAAGTGTTTGTTTGAATAATATTTACAGAAGAAATTCATACATTTAGTGTAGTAAAGCATATATAAACCTTTCCACAAGTGTTAAAAGATGAAACGTAGGCATCATGTACTTGTACAACATGTATTTTAGTTCCTATGATGTGCGTAGATACAGTTTCGTATGTAACTCAGAATAATTTCCAATATCGAAGTCCAGTCCACGATACACCCTATCCTTTCTTTGCTGAACTGGCATCATGAAAGCAGTGTTAGCCATGAGCGCCATTTGCGAGTTAACCACACTGTTAAAAAGTTAGCGGCGGTCCTTAGGTGTGTTAACTTAACGTCACGTTAACAGCCTCTTTTATACCTGTTAGCATTAAACTTTTATATGAATGTTGGACATAGCCATAATTTTAAATGTATTTGTCTACTAGTCTCTTACAGCATACACTTGTCATTCTTCTCATCCTGTTTATCTGTGTGTTTTAAGGTGATCGTGTTTCTGTGCTTAATTTGTTTTAACCATGCTGTATATCTCACTGTTGTAAAACGAATTCCTTTGTCGGGCAATGAAGTATTATTATATTATATAATTATCATTAATATTTTTCAGCTGCTGGCTGTCGCCGGATCAAGGTCTTGTGTTTGCATTTATTGCCCCAGCAGTGTCCGTGTTTACGGTGAGTCGTCTTACAAGTTGTGAAGTTCATTGTTAACAGGGTTGTGATTGTATTACAATTTGGCTGTTAAAATTCACTCGAAGTTCATTAAAATTATGTTTTAGCAATAATTAGTTGTCATGGATGTATAACTATATATATACTGTAAGCACTGGTTAGCATGTACGCATATTTCATATTTTTTGAGTCGTGTATAATCTAGAATATTTTAGAAGAGCATAGAATCTTCAAGCATGGTAAAGGAACAACGGTTGTGCGAAGACCATAGTATGCTGAATCGCAAAAGAAACGTCACAGCGATAGAGGTTTCTTAAAACACACACTTTAATTCGCTCTAATTAACAATCAAAGCAGATGACTGAGTTCAATTTTGACAATTATGGTTAACACATTTTCGGGAATCACATTTAGAGTTAACACAAACGAAATCACCAAAAAATGGTACCATTAAGATACCTCCAATGGCATCGATGACGGCGTTGCATCGTCTGTACATGGAATGAATTAGCCGGTTGGTGAAGGCCAAATAATAGGCACTTGGGTCCATACTCTGCGAAATACCTTTGGCTTTGGGGCACGAGCGTTGTCTTATTGGAAGATGTGATTTCTGTGACATCCAAAATGTGGTACAACGTGGGGTCTTATGACTTGGTCAATATAGCGAGCAGCTGTCATGCCATTTCCTCGTCCTGGACAGTAAATTATGGAACACCAAGGGGCCAACTCTCTGGTTCAGACCGATTGTACCCCAAACGCTTGGACCACCCCTCAAGTCTCCTAATAACACACTCATTGGAAAAGCGTTCCCCACGCCTTCGCAATACTCTCACTCTGCCGTCGGCTGTCTAAACACAATATCGGCTTTCATCAGAAAAAAAGCACAGTCGATTGTCGATAACGCTAATTTCGATGCTGAGTTGCCAATTCAGTCGGTTTGGGCGGTGGCGAGCGGTGAGGACAGAACCGCGATATGGTCTGTGATTGCAGAGGTTGCTTCCGCGCAAACGTCGACGCACTGTATCGGCACTAATATATAATGGAATATAATGGGTCTGTTGTGAATCCCAATGGTCTGGCGTGCTGTTTCCGTCGCTCTGGTGAAGCAGATAGTTGCACACAGTCTGTCAGTCTTGGCGTTGTGATGTTACTGAAGGTTGTCCACTGCGTGGACGGTCTTGGATGCTGTTAGTGGCCTGATACCGCTCCTGCAGTCGGTAGATTGTCCTAACATGAACAGTAAAACGATTGGCTACCCACCGTGCAGTCAGGCCAACTTGCAATCGTCCCAAGACCTGGTTCCTCTGATCTCTCGTAAGTCGTGCCATGGCGATTGTGTCCAAACAAAAATGACTGCAGGCGAGTTTGGGACTCGCTTTCATTGGTAGGGTTGTCACAATATGCACGTGCATTTCATTTTCACGAATGTCATACGGAAGCTTTTACCACGTCTACCTATTTAGGTGCGTTCGGTCGATATGCTTTTGCATCAGAAAACAAACTGATGTTGGTAATAACTGTAAATTTGAATTGACATGGTAACAAAACGGTACAATCATAAAAAACACACCACCTTGTAAGAATAAGAAAATTGCATTTTGTTTTGAAAGGTGACATTTCTTTTGTGTTTGAGTATATATCTGAATGTCAAGCCTATTACTGTTTTGGAACAGCAGGGATGCTGCTAGGTGTATGCTGTCATCTCTGGTTTTACGATTATTATTGTTTCACATGGAGCGAGATTCTGTTTATCGTTCACTCTTGTCAACTGGAATATGGAATAGGTGCAGTTTCCTGAAGGCTGCAGACTACGTTCTGTGTCAGAGGGATTAGTAATGCCACTGGAGCTTGACGTCATGGTAACCAGTGACGTCACAATGATGAACAAACTTAAGAATTGCGATACAAGTTATTTGTACCGATATCAAGGGATGGTTGATTTCAGCCAATCGATATCTCCTGTATAAGCCAGTGTCTCGACTAATCAGATTCAGTGGCTCGGGAGTTGTGATGGTAACCGATGACGTCACCGTTGTCTGAAGGCATCGTGATATAATGGTAATATGACCTATCAGATATAGCTTGATCTCACTCAACCGATGTCTCCAGAAGAAGCCAATTTTATAATTGCTTTAAAATAGTTTCAGTTTTTAAGTTTTTACTTTCATGTGTTTCTAGTGGGACCCATATTCGATCACGTTTACCCTCGAGCTCCATGTTGTCTGAAAGTGATGTTTTGACCTTGCAGGTCAACGTCCTTGTCCTTGTGCTCGTGATGTTTAAGTTCAACAAGGTCAAGGCCAACGAAAAGAAGACAGACAATCAAAAGATAAAGTAAGCGATATTATACTATTCCTATGAATGGGATTGACGTTTGGACATTAAATGTATGACATTCTTTTTGTGTTATTTTCCGTTTGGACAATATTTATAAGGACAAACGAGGCATACATAGGCTAGTGTATTTGGGGAGTGTAACTAATCTGTATTAACAAAAAAGAAAATGTATTAATGAAATGTAATGTAAACATGGCGGTCTGTAAGTAACCTACCGGCAGTGTGATTACAGGCGAATTGCGATGACTACCGCAGGCCTTACACCTCTGTGTGGTCTAGGAGCGCTAACGCACTGACGGTTCCTCCATCTGAACACTCCAAGAGGATATGTAGGCTACGTGAATATTTTTGTGACTCAGAACTTGTGTATACTCACCTGTACCTCAATGATCACTCACCTGTCTGCAGGTGCAACATCCGGGCCTGCATGATCCTCCTCCCAGTGTTGGGGCCGACATGGATTGTGGGAGTGTTTGCCGTGAACAGCTCCACTGTCCTGTTCCAGTACATCTTCTCCCTGCTGAACGGACTGCAGGTACCCCGGGGATTTCCCCAACACTTCAATGTACTATTTATATACTGCCCCGCTAAACAACATTCCCTCTATGTGACGGCGGTCGGTGTGTAACTGAGACGCGATCACACTATCAGGTGATAGATATCACGAGCAAGATGAATCTACGTAAGTACATGAACCAAGTGAACGCGCCTCACCCATGGCGCATGTTAAGACCAGCAATTCACACCCGGTTCTTCATGATGATCCAAACCAAACTACCCCATCTTAAAGGGCGACATAACGACTCTGGTAACTGGTGGATTGCATATACTCAGTCCCTTGGCTGTGAGGACTTTGCTCACAATATCAATCACTGGTTTGTATGGTTCAGACTGGATACCTACTGGCTGTTGTCTTACAGTCTTGATCAAGCTGACATGACGGCCCTGATGGTATGATATAATTAGGTTTCCTGCCTTGGTCTGTTGTCTGCTTCTATGTTTGTTTGTTTTCCCTGATGGTGTAAATGGACTTATGGACCTGGGTCCCGATCCACAAAGCATTCGTAACTCTATACTATATCGGGGCGGTTAGGTAGCCTAGTGGTTAAGGCGTTCGCTGGTCACGCCGAAGACGCGGGTTCGATTCCCCACATGGGTACAATGTGTTAAGCCCATTTCTGGTGTCCCCAGCCGTGATATTGCTGGAATATTGCTAAAAGCGGCGTAAAACCAAATTCATTCACTCACTCACTATACTATATCACTGGCTTACGAACGGCGTACTCCTACGAACGTTTAGTGGATTGGGCCCTTGCAGGCTATCCTGGTCAAAGTATAAAAGCGAAACGACCAACGCTAAACGCCAGATCAGTAAGCAGGATACACTTTCTGGATAACTTCTATTAATTCGACGTTCGCTATAAATCCACATACCAAAACACTGGATCGTAACAGAAAAGAGAAGGTGTCATATTTACAGGTATCTTATCTTTAATGTTATTTGCCTACTTAACAGCTGATAGCCGGACCATCCTGCTGGTTATCCTTGGACAGTGGCTTTTGCGTGGTGACCTGACCTGTTTCCGTTGTTTGTTACAGGGGATGCTGGTTCTCATCTTCCACTGCTTACTCAATGAAGACGTGAGTTTGTGTCCTGCGTGTCGTCTCTGCGTGGGTGTTTTGCGAAACCCTCCCCATCCTCTCCCTCTGAGAGAGTCCGTTCTTAGTCTCAAATACAATGTCCCACCCAAACAATATTGGTCCATGGTTCGGATATGTTGGCGATGAAGTGATCCACTTTCATGTTCTTGAGTGGGGAACTCGCTCGCTCCCTCCCTCGCTCACTCACTCACTCACTCACTCACTCACTCACTCACTCACTCACTCACTCACTCACTCACTCACTCACTCACTCACTCACTCACTCTTGTAATCATGTAGGTGATGACATCGTGGAAGAAGAAAATTGGTCTCCGCCAAAGTAAAGTCCACACATCGGAAGTGAAGGTCACTACACCGACACAAGATGCATGGACGGGGCAGTTCCTAAAGCCAAAACGAGGTCTTCGGAGTGTTCAGGACATTTTCACTGTAGTAAGTGTATTTACTGTTTATGAATCGGAACATACGTATTGTGCTGGTAATACACCTCGGGGATGACGAGTGGCCAGTAGTCCAGCGCTTGTTGCCCTCGGCGCACTCCGAGTATACAGTGAGAAGCTACTTGTGAGAGTAAATTCCAGTTCATAATCTGTGAACATTGCATACAGTGTGAAATTATCGTCTCTATGTTGTTTGAGGCAGCACACAGCAACCTTCCATCTGCATGACGACCGGCTAAATAGTCGAGTCTGGACTAAACAAACCAGCCTGTAATGTCTGTTTAGATTTTAGATTTCAACTGACAGTACCCCAATTAGAATTGATTTTCAGCAACCTATGCTTGTCGTAAGAGGCGACTAACGGGATCAGGTGGTCAGACTCGCTGACTTGCACATGTCATCAAAATCCCAATTGCGTAGGTCGATGCTCATGCTGTTGATCACTGGATTGTCTGGTCCAGACTGGATTATTTACAGACCACTGCCATCTAGCTGGAACATTTCGGAGTGCGGCGTAAAACTACAACCAACCAACCACTGCTATGATCCCTGGCTTGGCGATGGCTCACTGTCAACTTAGCTCATACGAGCACCTGACTATAAAACAACCTTCATGCTTCCTGTGATATAGTGGACATTATGCCTCAGCTCCAGTGTACCTACGTGGGGAATCGAACCTAAGTCAGCTTTAACCACTAGGCCACCCTAACGGACCCTTCTTCGGATATGGTTTGACATACACATTTACTGACGCAAATATCATTTTCCCGATGAGCTGTTATTTGCGACAGTATCTGTGTTGTTTGCGATTCTTATCTCTATTGTTTGCAACTTAAGAACTTAACAGCATTATATTTCGTTTTCAGACATCATCCAAACTGAAGCAAATTTCCTAAGAGACCCGAGTCCCTGCCGTTTGTTGAGGACACTGTTTGAACAGGCCAAACTTGCCCAAAGCGAAGTATGACGATAATCATGGCATCGCCTGTTTCAAATGTCTTTGGCGATAAACATATATAGTTAATCGCTTAAGTTTTAAGAAATAAAATATCAGGAAGTGTTTGAGGACAGTTTGTCTGTTGTTTTCGATCGTGTTTTATCAAAACCGTAGATATTGTTTTCGTCGGTTTGGTAGCCGGCCTTGGTACTATTGGGAGATTACCGGAATAGGTATAAAAATAAACTCACTCACAGTCGAATAAACAATCTTGAGCTTCGCGCCTAGAGAAGGCTCTTCTGATTTAAGCTATAGAGATCTGTTTAAGATTATACTGATTTTAACACTCTCGAGTATCAGTTGTTTATGATTATATTGATTTTAACACTCTCGAGTATCAGTTGTTTATGATTATATTGATTTTAACACTCTCGAGTATCAGCTGTTTATGATTATATTAATTATGTCACCATCTATTATCAGCTGTTTTAGATTATATTAATTATATCACCCTCGATCATCATATGTTTTAGATTATATTAATTGTATCACTCTCGAGTATCCGTTGTTTAAATTATATTAGTATATGAAAGAAAGTGTCACTGTAGCATCATTTGGGCTATGACTAGACCACCACACTCGTTACCCTCTCACATAACACAGAAATGGTCTCTTTCAGTGGCAATATTTTATGGACGCCTCTCTCGGTCCAACTACTGTAGTCAGTGACGCTAATTTAGAATTACCTTTCCTTGTTGCAAGTCAGGGAAAAGACACGTATTAACACAAAATGTTTCTGCGTGTTAAATTGGTGAGTGAGTGAGTTTAGTTTTACGCCGCGTTTAGCAATATTCCAGCAATATCACAACGGGGGGACACCAGAAATGGGCTTCACACATTGTATGCATGTGGGGAATCGAACCCGGGTCTGCGACGTGACGAGGGAACGCTGGTCGTCATACGAACAACGAAGCTATAGTGGCAGTGGTACAGAAAACAGAAGGTATCACCCCGCGTTGTCGAGGATAGACAAATCTCTTCTTTGTGTTTACAATGTAAATAGAGTGAGTGAGTGATTTTAGTTTTACGCCGCACTCAGCAATATTCCAGCTATATGGCGGCGGCCTGTAACACCGATCTACGCAATTGGGAGCCGATGTCATGTGTCAATCAAGTCAGCGAGCCTGACCACCCGATTCCGTTAGTCGCTTTTTACGACAAGCATGGGTAACGGAAGATCAATCCTAACCCGAACTTTCTGTTTATAATGAGTGAGTCGATATCGGCAATACCTTATATACAGTGACTGGGTAATTGCTGCCTTACGCCACACCAGCAACCTGGCACCTATACGCAGCGAAGTATGCATATTCTTGTACTACAAGTGGTAAGACTGAAAATAATGTCCATTCTCAATAGACTACACAGTCCACTATGTCGGTAAAGCAAAATATTAAGACTGAACTCTAAATCTGATTTTATTAGCTTTTTTTCAATTAAGCCCATATCAAGTGATGAGATACATGATTAGACTAAAACCGACATGACGAGATCGATAGAATGACAAGACGAGATCGGTTGAATGACATGACGAGATCGATAGAATGACATGACCAGATTCACATGTTCTATATATGCACACTTAACTGATATTATAGAAGCAGAGGTGTTACACTATATATACAAGGGGACAATGTTTTGTATGCACACTTAACTGATATTATAGAAGCAGAGGTGTTACACTATATATACAAGGGGACAATGTTTTGTATGCACACTTAACTGATATCATAGAAGCAGAGGTGTTACACTATATATACAAGGGGACAATGTTTTGTATGCACACTTAACTGATATCATAGAAGCAGAGGTGTTACACTATATATATATACAAGGGGACAATGTTTTGTATGCACACTTAACTGATATCATAGAAGCAGAGGTGTTACACTATATATACAAGGGGACAATGTTTTGTATGCACACTTAACTGATATTATAGAAGCAGAGGTGTTACACTATATATACAAGGGGACAATGTTTTGTATGCACACTTAACTGATATTATAGAAGCAGAGGTGTTACACTATATATACAAGGGGACAATGTTTTGTATGCACACTTAACTGATATTATAGAAGCAGAGGTGTTACACTATATATACAAGGGGACAATGTTTTGTATGCACACTTAACTGATATCATAACTGATATATATAGAAGCAGAGGTGTTACACTATATATACAAGGGGACAATGTTTTGTATGCACACTTAACTGATATTATAGAAGCAGAGGTGTTACACTATATATACAAGGGGACAATGTTTTGTATGCACACTTAACTGATATTATAGAAGCAGAGGTGTTACACTATATATACAAGGGGACAATGTTTTGTATGCACACTTAACTGATATTATAGAAGCAGAGGTGTTACACTATATATACAAGGGGACAATGTTTTGTATGCACACTTAACTGATATTATAGAAGCAGAGGTGTTACACTATATATACAAGGGGACAATGTTTTGTATGCACACTTAACTGATATTATAGAAGCAGAGGTGTTACACTATATATACAAGGGGACAATGTTTTGTATGCACACTTAACTGATATTATAGAAGCAGAGGTGTTACACTATATATACAAGGGGACAATGTTTTGTATGCACACTTAACTGATATCATAGAAGCAGAGGTGTTACACTATATATACAAGGGGACAATGTTTTGTATGCACACTTAACTGATATTATAGAAGCAGAGGTGTTACACTATATATACAAGAGGACAATGTTTTGTATGCACACTTAACTGATATTATAGAAGCAGAGGTGTTACACTATATATACAAGGGGACAATGTTTTGTATGCACGCTTAACTGATATCATAGAAGCAGAGGTGTTACACTATATATACAAGAGGACAATGTTTTGTATGCACACTTAACTGATATTAAGGGTTCAGTCAATGACATGTTTTATATGCGGGCTTAAATGATATCATAGAAGCAGTGGCGTTCACTATATATACAAGGTTTTAGTCAATGACAATGTTTACATGCACAGTTAACTGATATAGAATCAGATGCGTTACACTACATATACAAGGGTTCAGTCAATGACATGTGTTATATGCACGCTAAGCTGCTGGAGTGAGAATTCTGTCCCTAACACGAACCCATACATCACTGTGGGGATCGGGGAAATCGTCTAGTTGGATGATATCCTCTTCATCTGTTACATTCAGGAGCAGTTCCGGTAGCCGACCATGGTTTACGTCCCCTACCAGCAGCAGGATCACCCTGTTGGGGTTCAGGTTGGATATGTAGTAGGTTGTGGACTTAATGATGAAGTAGGACCAGGGGTCATCTAAGAAATCGTCGGATACAACCAGCACCGTCTTCCAGCTCCTGTTAATGCTTTCTACAACATGGTCAGCTACGAACGGACCAGGCAGGAAATCTCTGTCGGGTAGAATAAGTTTCAATCCGAGTATTTCCTCCAGGCCTATGCGTAGATCTTGCATCACAAACTGAAGCTCTTGATCCGAGTGGGCAATGTATGCATCTTTGTTGAAGTCTTGTCTGTTGACTCGCTGGATTCCTCGACCCATGAAGACCAAAATATGATGAGCAATTCTCGTCCAGTTCCGTGACACCAACAGGGCACACACAATCAGAAGAGTTGTGACACAGATCAGCGAAATGGCCACAGGAAGCCAAAAGCGACCTTGACATGAAGTCCAGTGGTAACTGAACTCTTTGTACACTGTATTGGTTGTTGTAAGGACACCGAATTCAGTAACACATGAATAATTCCCATTGCTGTCAAAGGTAACCGACGATGAAAATATCCACTGCACAAACGCGAGAGACTTGCAAGAACAGGAGAAAGGATTTCCCGTCAGCTTCAGAACGAGCTTGTTCTTCTTCCCGAGATTTTCCAACATCTCGATTGTGTCATCGTCAAAGAAGGTGATGGAATTGACCGACATGTCAAGAATGAGCAGGTCAGGCAGGTCATTGTCTTGAAAAGGGACAGACACTAGGTTATTTCTCGACACGTTAAGACTTCTCAGTGTTCTGAGAGACCCTAGGTTCATATACCGCAGGTCATTCCCCGCAATCTCTAAGTAACGCAATGCGTGCATTGTCTTTAGTCCCTCAAGCACAGGTCCTCCTTCTATGAGGGTGTCATCGTCCAAGCGCATATTGTTCAAAGCGAGATGCGTCAGATTTGGAAAAGACTTCAAAAAGTCCTCTGTCATCCCCAATCCCTCATTGGCTGAAATATCGAGTTCATTTACAAAATTTAGCCCCTGAATTGGGCTTACAAAACCCCAAGCTCCATTGTAGGATAGATCTAGTTTTTCTAAATGGGAAGCCCCTGTAATACTGGTTATAAAAAACTTCCCAAAATGACCACTGTTTGCCCTTAATAAACAGATACGAAGATTTGGGGGGAAGGGCACACTCACTTCCAAGTTTGATACTGACCTAGTTGTGGACCTCCTGGTAGTAAAAGGACTGTTCTCAGTCTTTGTTACACTGTCTGCTCCAGGGGGTTTAATGTGATGGTTAATTACAGTTTGATCAGAAACATCCAAATACAACAATTGTTTACATACATGCATTTCGAAATACGTGAATGGGTCCCCCAGAATGTTGTTTTTTGACAAATCTATATATTTTATACAACGTGACATCACTGGCAGAAGGGACCTGTCAATGAAGAGGATGTGGTTATAGCGGAGATCTAGATGTTCGATACATATATCTGTCAGATGAGTCAACGTTTCCTTGTTTAACAGCTGGTTTTGAAGGTTTCGATTCCGACTTACATACTTGTTGGATTTTTGCAAGAGAACTTGAGATACGTTTTTGCCATTGAGACCAAAGAATGCACGTACAGCAAGACCTGTTGGTAGGGTCATTACATTTTCCAGGACTATTTTTGAAATATGTTTGAAGGGTAGATATGCTTCAACATCAACTGTCATAAGTTTGCAATCTTGTACATCCAGTACTTGGACAGATGTATTCTCGAAAACGGAAAATGTATGGTTTTGTATGACGGTAATAGCACAATAAATACAGTTATCATCCACTCCAGTTGCAATGTTCAATGTTACTAGTTTCTGTAAATATCCGAATCCACTTCCAAATACGTCATACTGGAATGTGTCGATTGTCAGTGTTTCCAGATTCATTAACCATTTGAAGACCCAGTCCGGTGCTGATCCGCTGATGCGGCAGTCGTTGTAACCAATGTTCAACTCTGTGAGACTTTGCAGAGGACTGAAGACGTGTTCAGGATAGGTGTCATTATCAAGCTGGAGATTATTGTGATGAAGGTGTAAACTGAGAAGGCGGGTTAACCCTTTAAACGCGTTCGTTTCCAGTCGTGATACTTGGCTGTATGCAATGGTTAAAGACAGTAGTCGGGGAAGACGTACAAACGCGTTGTCAATGAGAACCGTTATGTTGTTCCAGCTGAGATCCAGGCTGACCGTGTTTGGCGGGAGATTATCTGGTACAGACGTGAGGTTGAGGTTCTGACAGTCAGCGCGGACTCCACCCAGCTGAGGGGCTGGCAAGATCTGACACGACTGCTGACAGGAAGTGGCCACAGTTAGGACCAGGATTAGACCACACGTAATCTTCATTGTGGGGGCGGTGTGAACTCATCTAAGGTCTGCTCCTCGGCAGTTGTAGTGAGTCTGGAATGGATGAACGACTTCGTTACAATGCTCCTCGATATCAAAATATCAAAATGCATTAATGAGCACATCACCAAGAATGTGCAAATATGACGTTTCTACTTGTATGTACGTTGGATTTACTCAATGAAGAATTAATCGTAGATATGACAGGCCGTTTTCACATTTGACACATAATTACTGTTTTCAATTGTTTGAAAGATATCGCTGTTATATTGAGAGACAACGATGTTTTGAAGTTATCAAGATGTAATAGAAGATAACTTCAATAATATATGATATTCAAAGTATCATAACTGATATCTTGTTATTGTACTCCATGTACTGTCTTCGACACAAAGGTCATGTTTCAGTACAAACGTCACCGTCAGTGAAGTCGCATCCTCTGAAGTGCCTGTCGCAGATAAAAGTTGACCACTCCAATGGACAAGTTCTGTTTGTACGCCTGGTAATACAAGTTGTAGCATTGTGATGAGGAGTATACGGGCGTTTATGTGACCCGTGCTTGGTTTTATCCATCGATTCGGAGGCGAGTTCGATAAAACCGAACGAAGGAAGCATAAAACCCCATATAACACCAATCACAATGCTGCACGAATTTATCTTACCGAATGTTCAAATCTCTCATTATGTAAATACAACTTTACAACGAACTTAAATTCAATCATCATATACTTTACTATAGTCCGTCAACTTAACTTTTGGCACCCTGTTTTTCACAAATTACAAAAAGCTCCTGAATATTTTAAAACATTACTCTGTTCATATGGCAATTGTATCCCGTGACCTATCACGAGAACGAGTTTAGTCATTTCAAAACGGTTATTAAAGAGTTTGCCTTTAAACTTATCATGTAATAATTGTAAAATTGTGGAGAGTTTTACGAGGGGTTAACGCACGTGATGGAAAAGCCAACAACATTGTAAAATGTGTATTAGCGTGAAATGTACATGCACGGGTATTTACATTAGCACGCTTAATTGATGTCAGACCGTCAGCACACAGGTTGAAGAGTAGTAGTGAAAACGATGTTGTCCAACGATGCCCTGCAAATCATCAAAAGAGTTCACATTTTTTTCAAGCGCGAGGCAAAGCGTAAAAACCCTCTTATTTCAATTGAGTGTTTCACCAAAAGAACAATTATGCCACCAAGATCTGCAAAAGAACTTTGCAAAGAGTTATCTCCCATGGTACTATTTCAGAGCTTGATGATGACATGGCAGTTAACTCGGGGGCTGTCTCAAAACATGCAAAGAAAAGAAAGCTTGATTAATTCGATAGAATGGTTGTGAGGGACCTCATCCGTCGGTTACATCGATCCGATGAGTCCATGTCGTCAAGTAAATTGAAGAAAATATTGAAAGAAGACCATGACATCAGTGTATCAAAGTATACCATATGCAAGCTGTTGCTCAGATTTGGATATAGATACAAGAGATTGAGCAACCAGAAACTGACTCTATGTGAAAAGGCAGATATCACTTGTATGAGAGCCCATTATCTGAGAAGAATACGCGACAAGAGACAAGAGGGACGAGAGATCGCGTGGCTAGATGAGACATGGGTGAATGCAAACCATACTTCCTCTTATCAGTGGCAACATCCGGAAGCAGTCAACAACAGGAAGATTCCATTGGGAAAAGGCGAGAGACTTATCGTTGTCCACGCAGGCTCTCATTTAGGGTTTATTCCTGGTTGTGACCTTGTTTTCCGTTCCAAGTCCACGGATGAATGCGACTACCACTCGGAAATGAACTCAGCTGTGTTTACTGAGTATGTGACAGAGCAGCTTATTCCACCACTACCCGCTAAATCTGTCGTCGTCATGGATAATGCTCCTTACCATAGCTGCAGAGAACCGAACAACCTCTGCATCAAGGAAGGTGGATATGGTGCAATATTTGGACAGACTTGGCACTGAATATCCCCCAAATGCAACAAAGGTAATACTGTATAAAATCATCCTGGCCAGGAAACCACCGCCAGTGTATCAAATTGACAACTTGCTGAAGCTTCATGGACACGAGGTCATTCGGTTGCCGCCTTACCACTGCGATCTAAATACTATTGAACTTGTGTGGGGACATATAAAGAACAACGTGGCCAAGAAAAAACGTTCCTTCAAATTAAGAGATGAGAAGAACATCGTTCATGAAGAAATCCGAGACGTTACGCCAGAGTTGTGGAACCGTTGTGTACAGCATGTGCTAGATATTGAACAGCAGTACTGGAAAAAGGATGGTTTGCAAAAGGGGTGTGTTAACCCAGTGATTGTGGATTTGAACTCAGACAGTGACACAGACGTAGAACTAGGTGTATACGACACTTCAGGATCAGATGGAGAACAGTGACATTCTTTAATCATGTACTCACATACTTTACCCCAGGTATTTAAAGACTTCAATAAATCTACTTGTTTAAAATGGATTTGTGATGATTATACAGTCCCTTTAGATTTGCTTGCAGGCGTAACAATGTAAACGAGATGCACGTGTGTCACACCATGTTGTTGGCTGTTCCATCATATAATTTACTCCCCTGTATAACTACTTCTATTTTTCATATTTTTATGTGATGGCTTCTTAAGATGAAGCTTTAATAATTGACATAAACTTATGAAATTTAAACCTTAGATAAGTCATAAGATATAAAGAGCGTATGCACAAAAAACATTTTGAAGGCATTTTTGGTTAAAAGGTAAATTGTGAAAAACAGGGTGCCAAAAGTTCAGTTGACGGACTATAACATGGCACCAACTAGTCGATCCGAACAACTGGTTCACGGTTCATTGACTGCCGTGGACGCATTCTTTTTTCCAGGCGGGGTATAAATGCATGGTTTGCAAAAGGGGTGTGTTAACCCAGTGATTGTGGATTTGAACTCAGACAGTGACACAGACGTAGAACTAGGTGTATACGACACTTCAGGATCAGATGGAGAACAGTGACATTCTTTAATCATGTACTCACATACTTTACCCCAGGTATTTAAAGACTTCAATAAATCTACTTGTTTAAAATGGATTTGTGATGATTATACAGTCCCTGTACATTTACTTGCAGGCGAGTATTCTCCCTCGCAAAGATTTATACCCCGTTTGGGCGCTGTACGGCCGTGCCCCGGGCATACATGGTAATTTGTTCAAGGTCACGTGGACCAATCAGAGATCGAGGCTCTTACATGAGGTAGGATAATATCCGATGTCCAACCGAACATGGACCACCTTTACACCTCCACCCTGTCCAGAGTGGAACAGTTCTACCACGTGACCTCTGTCCACATGGACTGTCAGGAGATATCGACAACACTGACATCTCTCCTCGGAGGTGGCCATTTCCGGCTTGGGTTCAGATTTGAGAAACATTGGCGTAACAGCCTCTTGGGACAATGTCCAATCAGGTCTTGGAAACGTATGTAGTGTTTTCTTGTGTTGCAGTCCCAAGTTTACCGAGATTCTGGCACAAACATTTTTCTTGTGTGGCAATACGGAAGCAGTCGGAGGAGAGGGGGAGAGGAAGGTTAACACCGATGTCCTTTCAGTAATGAGTATTTTATGTTGCTTGCTAATAATTTTCTCAAGTGTTTATGGCATATCGTGGTTGACCCAGACAAAACGATTTGGGTTGGTGAAATATACGGTATTAATGATGGAGAAGCCACTCCTTGACATACTTTCCGGCTGACATACAAGTGTTCACAATGTTATAATGACACCGTGGGTTTGGCGAACATTGTGAAAGTAGGTCAGGTCTGTCTGTATGTGTGTGTCTGTCTGTGTGTGCCTCCCTCTGCCTGTCTGTGTGTGTGTATCCCCCTCTGCCTGTCTGTGTGTGTGTCTGTCTGTGTCTCCCTCTGCCTGTCAATGTGTGTGTCTGTGTGACTCTCTGTGAGTGTCTCCCTATGCCTGTCTGCGTATGTCTCTGTGTGTCTCCCTCTGCCTGTCTGTGTGTGTCTGTCTGTGTCTCCCTCTGCCTGTCTGTGTGTCTGTCTGTCTGTGTCCCTCTGCCTGTCAATGTGTGTGTGTGTCTGTGTGTGACTCTCTGTGTGTGTCTCCCTGTCTGTGTGTGTGTCCTGTGTCTGTGTCTGTCTGTGTGTGTCCTGTCTGCCTGTCTGTGTGTGTGTCTCTGTGTGTCTGTCTGTGCCCCTCTGCCTGTCTGTGTGTGTGTCTGTCTGTGTCTCTGTGTGTGTGTGTCCTCTGCCTGTCTGTCTGTGTGTGTCTCCCTCTGCCTGTCTGTGTGTGTGTCTCCCTCTGCCTGTCTGTGTGTGTGTGTCCCTCTGTGTGTCTCCCTCTGTGTGTCTGTGTGTGTCTCCCTCTGCCTGTCTGTGTGTCTCCTCTGCCTGTGTGTCCCCTCTGTGTGTGTGTGTCTGTCTGTCTATGTGTCTCTCTCCCTCTGTCTGTCTGTGTGTGTCTCCCCTCTGTCTGTGTGTGTGTGTGTGTCCCTCTGCCTGTCTGTGTGTGTGTGTGTGTGTGTGTGTGTCTCCCTTTGCCTTTATGTGTGTGCCTGTGTGTGTCCCCTCTGTCTGTCTGTGTGGGTCTGTGGGTCTCTCCCTCTGCCTGTCTGTGTGTCTGTGTATGTCTGTCAGTGCCCCTCTGCCTGTCTGTGTGTGTGTCTGTGTGTGTCTCCCTCTGTCTGTATGTGTGTGTCCCCTCTGTCTGTCTGTGTGTGTCTGTGTGTCTCTCCCTCTGCCTGAATGTGTGTCTGTGTGTGTCAGTCTGTGCCCCTCTGCCTGTCTATGTGTGTGTCTGTGTGTGTGCGTCCCCTCTGCCTGTTTTAGTGTGTGTCTGTCTGTGTCTGTCTCCCTCTGCCTGTCTTAGTGTGTGTCTGTCTGTGTGTGTCTCCCTCTGCCTGTCTTAGTGTGTGTCTGTCTGTGTTTGTCTCCCTCGGCCTGTCTGTGTGTGTGTGTGTACCCCTCTGCCTTTCTGTGAGTGTGTGTGTGTGTGTGTCTGTCTATGTGTGTCTCCCTCTGCCTCTCTGTGTGTGTGTCTGTGTGTGTCTGTCTGTGCCCCTCTGCCTGTCTCTGTTTGTGTCTGTCTGTGTGTCTCCCTCTGTCTCCTTCGCTCTGCCTTTCTGTGAGTGTCTATGTGTGTATCCTCTTCCTGTCTGTGTGTGTGTATGTGTGTGTCTCCCTCTGCCTGTCTGTGTGTGTGTGTCTGTATGTGTCTCCCTCTGCCTGTCTGTGTGTGTCTGTCTGTGAGTGTCTCCCTCTGCCTGTCTGTGTGTGTCTCCCTCTACCTGTCTCTGTGTGTGTGTGTGTCTGTTTCTGTGTCTTCTGTTTCTCTCTGTATGTCTGTCTGTCTGCGTGTGTCTCTTTCTCTCTCTCTGTGTGTGTGTGTGTGTGTGTGTGTGTGTGTGTGTGTGTGTGTGTTAGGGTTAAGGTGACATTCGTATATGTCAAGAAACGGCAGGTACATACGCGATTCACGACAGCCACAACATGTCTTTCACTAGACGTACCTGATATCAAGCTCCCTGCATTGAATCCAAACTAATCATCACCGCTATGTGGCCCAGATTAAGTTGAACATGTTTCTGCGTATTACATCCTGCTTTGTGTAGTGCGGCCATATATCATGTATCCCCTAACACCAGCACGTATTACATCCTGCTTTGTGTAGTGCGGCCATATATCATGTATCCCCTAACACCAGCACGTATGACATCCTGCTTTGTGTAGTGCGGCCATATATCATGTATCCCCTAACACCAGCACGTATGACATCCTGCTTTGTGTAGTGCGGCCATATATCATGTATCCCCTAACACCAGCACGTATGACATCCTGCTTTGTGTAGTGCGGCCATACATCCTGTGTAGTGCGGCCCCTAACACCAGCACGTGTATGACATCCTGCTTTGTGTAGTGCGGCCATATATCATGTATCCCCTAACACCAGCACGTATGACATCCTGCTTTGTGTAGTGCGGCCATATATCATGTATCCCCTAACACCAGCACGTATGACATCCTGCTTTGTGTAGTGCGGCCATATATCATGTATCCCCTAACACCAGCACGTATGACATCCTGCTTTGTGTAGTGCGGCCATATATCATGTATCCCCTAACACCAGCACGTATGACATCCTGCTTTGTGTAGTGCGGCCATATATCATGTATCCCCTAACACCAGCACGTATGACATCCTGCTTTGTGTAGTGCGGCCATATATCATGTATCCCCTAACACCAGCACGTATGACATCCTGCTTTGTGTAGTGCGGCCATATATCATGTATCCCCTAACACCAGCACGTATGACATCCTGCTTTGTGTAGTGCGGCCATATATCATGTATCCCCTAACACCAGCACGTATGACATCCTGCTTTGTGTAGTGCGGCCATATATCATGTATCCCCTAACACCAGCACGTATGACATCCTGCTTTGTGTAGTGCGGCCATATATCATGTATCCCCTAACACCAGCACGTATTACATCCTGCTTTGTGTAGTGCGGCCATATATCATGTATCCCCTAACACCAGCACGTATGACATCCTGCTTTGTGTAGTGCGGCCATATATCATGTATCCCCTAACACCAGCACGTATTACATCCTGCTTTGTGTAGTGCGGCCATATATCAATGATCCCCTAACACCAGCACGTATTACATCCTGCTTTGTGTAGTGCGGCCATATATCATGCATCCCCTAACACCAGCACGTATTACATCCTGCTTTGTGTAGTGCGGCCATATATCATGTATCCCCTAACACCAGCACGTATGACATCCTGCTTTGTGTAGTGCGGCCATATATCATGTATCCCCTAACACCAGCACGTATGACATCCTGCTTTGTGTAGTGCGGCCATATATCATGTATCCCCTAACACCAGCACGTATGACATCCAGCTTTGTGTAGTGCGGCCATATATCATGTATCCCCTAACACCAGCACGTGACGCCCTCAATCATCCAATTGTCTGGCCACCACTCGACTGTTTGCAGCCAACAGGTTTTCTATCTATCTATCTATCGACCTAGTTATATATATTTCTCCAATAATTTGCATTTATGGCAAGTATTGTGACGACGTAAGGTGGGATAAGTACACCAATAAGAAGGGATAAGAGTATTTACCACACGGTGTCTGGAGACCCGGCCCTCTCCCGCACTGTGATAGTGTGTCGTCTCGCAGTTGTATCTCAATAGACTGACACGTTACAGATATAGCACAGACTCATGAGTGAACCACTTCCTTGTTTCTATCTCTGGGGTTTCCGAATTGGTTGGAACATATCACTTCATGTCAACACTGCTCTCTCGGGGAAGTGTTCCTACTCATTAACCAAAAAACCTTATCATGTGATGATGAATTATGACTATTTTAAAGTGCAACAAATATAATTATTATGAAGTGTAGTGGCAATAACGAGGCGGATCCTGCATTTTGGACATGTGTGTGTGTGTGTGTGTGTGTGTGTGTGTGTGTGTGTGTGCGTGCGCGCGAACGTGCACGATACATATATCATGAAGTCCAAAGGTTAGTTCGAAATGCTCTCCAGGGACATTTTTTCGGCTTAGCATGGATAAAAGTGAGTACCCCCTCCACCCCCGCAAGAACGCACACACACACACACACACATCCCTGTGGATCCGCCGCTGCTATAAATATTACGATATGACAGGAGTGGTCTAACATGAACGGACACCTCCTTTAAACACCACTCCTGTCATATCGTAATACTTATAGCAGGGGCGGATCCACAGGGATGTTTGTGTGTGTGTGCGTGCGTGCGCGCCTGTCTGTGTGTGCGTCAACACTTGTAATGTACTATTCAACACTTGTAGTGTAGTATTTAACACGTGTAATATACTATTAAGCACTTGTAATGTTCAACAACTTCAACATCATTAAATTTTCGGGGAGAAGGGCTGGGGTTGGGGGGTTGGGCACTAACTCACTAACTCACTCGCAATTTAGAGTGTGTACGTCTCCTGTTCATACACAGAAAAACTAACACTTACATGTGCCAAAGACTACGTCGACGGCGAATTATCTCAAGATAAGGACAAAGAATACGTTGTGTTCAAATTGCTGTAGTGGGTTATGAAATATACGACTACTGCAGCGCGGTGACTGCCCCAAGGCAGGTCAAGCAAAAGGCGTCGCCTTGTCAAAACAGTTGTGTGTGGGTGTGCCGTTAGAAGGCCAGAAGAAGATAGGTCGAATATACGATTAACTCACACTCGGGTCCTGGTTAGTTTTACGCCGCTTTTCCAGCAATATCACCAGAAATGGCCTTCACACACTATATCCATGGGAAATCGAACCCGGGTCTTCGGCGTGACAATCGAACGCTTTAACCACTGGGCTACCCTACCGCACAACTAAAGGGAATTACTTCACAACCAGCTGCAACTTCGCTTAATAACTTGAAGACATGATTGCTTTTCCGAATCTGAAATTCCTTTAATCTGTTAACGCCATACATGCACAAGTAAGCTTTTGAATTGAAGAACAGTTAATATTGCAAAAGAAATTGAAGAATTTTCCATATATATTTCCTTCAGTACATAAGCATCACTCAGATATTACAAGCTCTTGGTGATGCATTAAAAATCAGATATTAGTTCTCTCTACTCTAAACAAGATTTGATGACAACCCATTACGAGTCACTTCAGAACGATCTTTCGCAAACCTCTGAAGAAAGGTCTGTCTTACTCGAATCCTAATAGGTTGTCCTCTGATCTTTACTTCGCGGCGATACCTAAGGTCTGCATTTCCTGAAACGGACCGAATAGGTTGGACTGACTCACTGAGTATGGTTTTACGCCGTTTATAGCAATATTCCAGCAATATCACGGAGGGAAAAACCAGAAAAGGGCTTCATAAATTGTACCCATGTGGGGATTCGAACCCGGGAGATAAGTTGGATATGCCTTTGGACTTGGTTGATAGCAATATCATTCACGGAGACCTGGTAAGTTGGATATCGTACAAAATGCAAAGCCCGGTAACAATATCCAGGAAAAACGGTTTTTTTATGCTGTCTATCGAAAAATAACAATCCCTTAAACCTTGTAATTATCCTGTCAAAACGAATCATTTTCAACTTTAGAAAGAATAACTACCCGCCAACATTCCAGGTCATACAGAAGGCGCTCATTGAATTTTATAAGTTAACAAAGTATGCCTCTGTCATTACTTGTAATAGAGACTACATCAATGAGGCCTGGTCAAACTGCCATGCCTTATTCTCCTAAATACACTTTCATGCAAAACCCTGTAAATGCTTAGAATAAATTAACAAATTATACAAGAAAAATGTCATTCACGGGATCTTCTGGCCCAGACCAACAGGCAAGTACATGTATTACAATGATATATTTTTGATATCCACGTATGGGATATTTACCAACAATTGCTGACATTTTCTGACATTGGCAGCTGGCAAACAAAGGCAAACTGCCTGGTGCACTTGACGTCATGCCAGCGTCTGTTCACTTCACCAGAGTTGAGAATCAGTAAACAGTTTTGTATGTTATCACCCACTGCTGGTTGGCTGATGGCCCAAAAGGACTGGTTGATCTTAGAACCATTTGACCACACCCATATCCCTTCCTGTTGTTCGTCAGATCCGTCCAACCAGATGTATGTACCTGGAAAACAGAACTTGTGTGAACAGACATTTTCTCCAATACCCCATTCTTCCCCAAATAAATAAAATTCGCTAAACTGAGTATAATATCGTCAGAACCAAAGTGGCTGTGGGGTAGCCTAGTGGTTGAAGCGTTCACTCATCACGCCGAAGACCCGGGTTCGATTCCCCACATGGAAGACACATGCACAATGAACGTATCGGTGACAAAGTTATGTCCGCTGCAAATCCCTGGCTCGACTTGTACCTATGTTTCCATGTCTCTTTTGGCGGGCAGTTGACTTACCTTTGCGTCAGCGTTCGAAATAACCGCCGGCCCGGAGGCCAGCGCCGGTTGTTATTGTATCGGTCCGACTGTTTCAAATACTTGCAGGCCCTTGTGGCCTTCAGTAAATTATCTGTCAGGGTGTTTTTTTCGACTGGAATCTTTCCCATTTTTTTTTTCTTTAGTAACGTTCGGGATTCCATGATCCATCATGTTACGATAACTTACACCCGTGAAGGTCCGGGTTAGAATGAACCTTCAGTAACTCATGTTTGTCGTAAGAGGCGACTAACGGGATCAGGTGGTCAGGCTCGCTGGCTTGGTTGACACATGTCATCGGCTCCCAATTGCGCAGATCGATGCTCATGCCGTTGATCACTGGATTGACTGGTCCAGACTCGATTATTTACAGACCGCCGCTAAGTGCGGCGTAAAACTAAACTCACTCACTCACTACAATAACCTACGGCTTCAATTCCTGGTATTTCAGCTTAGGAATGTCAACGCCAGTCTTTAACAAATAAAATCTGCGATGGGTGTCACAGGCTTGGTTAATTGGTTTTGTAGAAACAGTGTGAAACTGTGTACAGTGTAGTCTTTTTTGTTTTTATTGGTTTGACTTTAACAAAATGGGCCTGCAGATTTCATTCAGGGCCTGCAGATTTTAAAGCCTGCAGGCGGCAGCAGGCCCTGATGGCCAACTGGCAAATTAAAGTATTGCAAACACTGCTTTGATTGTGTTGGAAATGGATTACCTATGTATGGAAGGATACAAACATATTTTCCACGAACACCTGTTATCAACTGGATCCCTTGATAGGTGAGGTGAGGTGAAATTGGGTTTTTACGTCGTGCTTGAGAATATTTCGCTCATATGACGACGTGCATGCGTGTGTATGTGTATGTACGGCTGCTTGTACTAGCCCAGACTTAAGCTGGTTTTATAGTGCTAGCCCACTGAGATACCATGCCGCAGTGAAGCATGAATACCCCACTCAGACACATTATACTGACTCCGAACCGACCAGTCCTTGTTGTACCCATTAATGCCGAGCGCCAGGCAGGGACCAACAAGTACCATATTTTAACGTCTTTTTGGTATGACGCGGTCGGGGATCGAACCCGCGACCTTCCGCTCTCCAGGCGGACGCTCTAACCACTACACCACGGAGGCGGTCGGATCCCTTGATAAAATAGGCGGAGTTGTACAATGCGTAATAGAAATGGTTTTGTCCTTTCTGGACTATTAGCTGGACTATTGCTGAGTGCGGCGTAAAAAATAAACTCACTCACTCATTCTATTTACACTGTGTAACCCGGATGAATGTGCATCCTCCATTTCCTGCAATATTCCTCATTATATACACGCGGAAAAAGGTCTCACAACACCTATTTAGGTGATTATGTTTGTTTGTATTTATTACTTATACACCTGCAGAAATTACTTATTTATATAAAACACACACACAAATATATTGTGTGAGCTTTATGAAATATATGAACAAATATGCTATATTATGTGACATATGATACATGCATGTTGTTATATTGACTGAATAAATATATTGTCTACTATATATATCACACTCTGTTTTAATTAGTTTGTTAATTCGAGAACACTGGGAGTGAAGTCACTCATGTAGAACATCACCTCCCTTTTCCCGGACTGTCGACAAGTATTTTGGACGGATTATTTCTTGTTGTCGACAGTCCGGGCATAAACCGAATTATCTTGACCCTTCATTGACCTTAGATGCACGCGCGCTACGATCAAAGGCTAACATCACGTGCAATACGTGTAATCGTCGTGAAGCAAATATCAAGTTTCAGTTAACTTTTCCTACAGTTCGATGACTTGGAAAATCGTTGTTGACAAGCATATAATGGGCTTATTGACATGCGGAATGCTGGCAAAATATTGACATGCGGAATACTTGCATGTCATTCAGGGATATTGCATGTGCGGAATACTGGCATGTCATTCAGGGATATTGACATGCAGGAATCATTCAGGGGATATTGACTGGCATGTCATTCAGGGATATTGACATGACATGCGGTACTGGCATGTCATTCAGGATATGCTTGCATGTCATTCAGGGATATTGATTACGCGGAATATTGCGGAATACTGGCATGTCATTCAGGGATATTGACATGCAGGATGCTGGCACTTTCAGCGGATGATTACATGCGGGGATGTCATTCTGGTGGATATTGACATGTCATTCAGGATATTGACATGTGGGATATTGACATTGTACGATACTGGCATGTATTAGG